TGCAAAATAGGAAAAAAATGTGAATATTCTACCTTGGGGATACAGTTGCCCTGAAGTAGATTAAGACATAATTTGGAATGCAAAATAGGAAAAAATGGGAATATTCAGACTTGGGGATACAGTTGCCTTGAAATCTATTAAGATTCTGTTCTGACCCATTTCAAAGCCATCTGGGGCCCTATCTACGCCACTGGTTTGTAACCCTTGTTGTATATCAGAACTAGCTGACAAGTGAGTAATGGCTAAAGCTATTTACTCAAAATTTTTTTCTGATCTGCAACGTAATTGGGCTCTGAGCCTCTTTTCAGACCTGAGCCTCAGTACTATGCATAAGCATTCCCACCTCTAGTAGGCTTTGACAGGAAAGCTTTTAAAATGCTGATCCTTAGGCTCTGCCAGGGATTCTTACTTAATTGAGCTGGGGCAGGGCCCAGGTATCAGCACAGTGCCTAGTTGTGAAGTTCTATTAAAAGGTACATTTGGGGGTGGGCGTGGTGGCTCACACCTGTAATCTCAGCACTTTGGGAGGCTGAGGTGGGCAGATCAGATGAGGTCAGAAGTTCAAGACCAGCCTGGCCAACGTGCTGAAACCCCATCTCTACTAAAAATACAAAAATTAGCCGGGCGTGGTGGCAGACGCCTGTAATCCCAGCTACTCGGGAGGCTGAGGAAGGAGAATTGCTTGAATCCAGGAGTCAGAAGTTACAGCAAGCCAGGATCGCTCCACTGCACTCCAGCCTGGGTGATAGAGCGAGACAAGGTCTCAAAAACAAAACAAAACAAAAAGGGTATATTTGGGCCAGGTGGGGTGGCTTACCCTTGTAATCCTAGCAACTTGGGAGGCCAAGGCAGGAGGATTACTTGAGCCCAGGAGTTCAAGACCAGACTGGGCAACATGGTGAAACCCTGTCTCTACAAAAAATACAAAAAATTAACCAGGAATGGTGGAGTGTGCCTGTAGGCCCAGCTACTCGGGAGGCTTGGGTAGGAGGATCATCAGAGCCCAGGAAGTTGAGGCTGCAGTGAGTCGTGATTGTGCCACTGCACTCCAGTCTGGGCAACCGAGTGAGATCCTGTCTCGAAAAACAAAAAAAGAGCCTGTAATCCCAGCACTTTGGGAGGCCGAGA